AGCTGCTGATTGAACTCAGGCAAAAAGTCTAGGCAACAATTAAGATGTTCTCCAGCTGATAATCAGCATTCTATAGTGGCTTGAAAAAGTTAAGGCTAAAGAGTGCATAAACAATATTTTACTGGCATACATTAAAAATTTCATATATATGTATGTAAATACATATACTACACAAACAACTGTAATAAAATTCTAATTAGAATATTCAATTGCATGATCTTATCAACTGCATCGCATTTGATTTATGTTTACATTAATTAAGTTTACAAAAAATAAGGTAAAAATAATAATGTTTAATGAATTGTTTTACTAATTACAGGAATCATTTATTTAACACAATATTTTATCAATATGCAAAGAGGGACAAATAAGGATATTTATATATAAATCATGAAGCAATATAAATTAGTTTTTTATTCTTTCAATATTTGTATTTAATATTTTAATTCTGACCTATTTTTGCTTTTTTGTTGTTTTTTGCTTTTTTTTTTTTTGGTATAAGTTTAACTTGTTTAAATTATTTTCTTATCTGTAAAAATTTGAACGTATCAATAAATTTGCATTTGACTTATGCTAATTATTTTTTATTTATAATTTAAATTGTTTGTTTTGATTTATTTTAATTTTACTGTCGCATCTATATAAGCTTTAAATATTTTTTTTAAGTACGGAAAAAAAATTGTATTGATTGTATGATACTCATTTGTTAAACCTTTTATTTATATATTTTTTGTATCATAATTATTTTGATAAAAATTGTTTTTTTTTTTCGGATGCCACTCGCCTATCTATAAAAATTTGTCAACAAAAACTTTAAATATGTTTTGCATTACTTTTGTTGAAATTTAATACTCGCACGTTGGAGCTTTAAATGCGCTGTGCCTTGTTTACATGCATGTTAAGCTAAAAACCCACAGCAAACAGATTGTTTAAATTGCTTGTAAAAATAACAAAAACAACAATTGCAATGACCGCTACATGGAGTTTATTTCTGTTGTTTTTTAATGCTCGCAACTCGAATTGGTTTTCTTTTCTCTTTGCCCTCCCCGTCGACCCCAACGACTATGGCCAACATTTATGCAGCAATTGAACCCCAAAGAGCAAAAGGGTAAATGCGAAACACCCTTCCCCCTCCCCAGCCATAGGCGAATGGGCAGCTGATTGGGTGCCGGCTAAGTCTATATATAGAGTTTCATTTTTTTTATATATGTATATACAATATGTATATATGTATGTTTGTATATTTTTAATGAAATGCAGAGACGTGGCGAGCGGTGGCTAGCAAAGGAAGCACTGCAAAAATGCATTTTATTACACGTTCGATTGATTTTTGGCAACAAGCATGAACAGGGTGAGCGGGGGCACCCAGCGAGACCTTTGTTAAGTGTGCAGTTTATTGTCAAGAGAGAGAGAGAGAGAGAGAGAGAGACATACATACATATCGTGTATGTACTCAAACTCTGCCCCTTAGGGAGTCGCCTCAAATTGAAATTGTCGATTTAACATTTTGAATTATCGTTTAGCAAATGGTCAATATTTTGTAACAGCTAAACTGCTCGTGCTGCCCCAACTCCCCCGCAGCTGGAGCTGCCTGGAGCACACATCAAATTGTGCCACATAAATTGTATTGCTATAAACAATCAATTACTTTGTGTGATTCCAGTTCCCAGGGTCCGTTTCTCGAGGGAGTGCGACTGTTTACAAAAACTTTTCGCTGTTCTGCTTATAGTTCTCGATAATGTTATATGGGCTTCCCCTTTCTCTTTTCTACTTCATTATTACTTCCTTCAGTATTTTTTTGCCGACTTTTTGTGGTCGATTCAAGTTATGTGGAAGTAAACACAGATGAAACTTTAAATGGGCTTTTGTGGCATCGCCTGGAAAAGTCAAGGGCAGTGTGAATAGCATTGAAGCTGTCATAACAGAGGCGCAATTGATTATTTATCCAGAAAAGGGTAAACGAATTGAGAACTTGAAGAAAATTGTTTCAAAATTTTTAAATAAGACGAAACATGATTGCTGTTAGCGCTGGCGCACTATAAACAATAATTTTATTGGAATTCTTGAATCTGATAAACAGAGATAAAAAGCCTAGCAGAAGTAGTAGATGCGCAGCCAAAGGGATTTTTGAAATAATTCAATTATACTTGCTCTAGAAATAATGTATAATCTCAGTACTATTAGCATTTATAGTAGTATAGAAGTAGAAGCATTTGAAAGAAAAGTAGTAGTAGTAGTAATGTTTAAAATAGTAGTAGTAGTAATGTTTCAAATAGTAGTAGTAGTAGTAGTAGTAATGTTTCAAATAGTAGTAGTAGTAGTAGAAATGTTTAAAATAGTAGTAGTAGTAGTAGAAATGTTTAAAATAGTAGTAGTAGTAATAGTAGTAATGGTTAAAATAGTAGTAGTAGTAATAGTAGAAATATTTAAAATAGTAGTAGAAGTAGTAGTTGTAGGTTTAATTGACAGTAATGCTAGCAGTTGTAGTAGAAGTTGTAATAATTTTATTCATTGTGATCGTAGTCTTAATATTAATAGTAGTATAGCTTATAATAGCAGTAATTAATAATAATATTACAACCAATATTCTGATCAACGCCTATCAAGAACTATACCATACTTGCGACATGCAATACATTTCCAACTCAGGAGTTTCTGTAATTCAAGGAAAGTCCACTATGAATGATTTCTTCGAGATGGATGCAATTTCAAAATCGAAATGGAAATCATTAAAGCTGCAGTCGTAAAAACTCGCCCTATATATGTATGAAAGTATATATACATATATATGAGATTTCTTGGCAAACGCTTCGACGCTTTTTATTTGGCAGCTATTAAACTCAGAACTTTATGGACATGACCAATGTGTGCACTAAACGCTTTGCCCGGCAATCGCAAATACTTTGGCCAGTTCCGAGCGCCGTTCCCGAGTTCCGCTAGTTTATGTTGTCCGTGCCAGGCGCGAACCCCACAGTACACACTGAATGCCGTGCCCAGTCCCATGTGTTGGCACAAAATACAAGCCATATATTATTCGAGTGGAGCGCAGGGGGCGTTGCACGTACAAGTGTGGCAGCTAGAGAGCGGGAGACCGGGAGAGCGGGGTTCCTTTCTCCTCTCGCTCGCCAAAGGGCCAATTGACAGCAGCCTGCAGAACAGCATCACAATTAACACATGCCGGAATACCCAGAATCGCTGCTCAACCGGGGATGGAGTCCAGAGACGAGTCGAGTCGAGGCGAGTTGAGGCGAGTTGAGAATCGAGTCGAGTCGAGTCCGGGACGTGAGTGCGCTGCAAAATCCGTGAAGCGTTGCACGTGTCACATCAGAGGCAGCGTGGAGTAAGTCACTCGCTTGCATTTCGCAGCTGTGATGCGGCTCGTGGGTCGCTGCTCTGTGTCCTGTGCTCCTTGCTCCACCTTCACACATGACACATGCCTTCAGTTTTTACTCCTGCTGCTGCTCCTGCTGCTTTTATTACATTTTGACGCATTTTAATCGTTTTTCATCATTTTGCTCGGAGGGTAGCTTCGCCTTGTACGTCACAGCGTCCTTCAGCCCTCGCCGACTGACAATAATAAATTATGCTTTGACTTTTACAAGCAGCTAGCCCAACCCCAACTCCAACCCCAACCCCAACCCCTGTCCCAACTCCAGGCAGGTTCAGTCTCATAAATTGCGTAACGTCGACGACTATTAAAAATTACATAATTGCTTAACTGCAGCGCCGCAGCAACAGCAGCAGCAGCAACAGCTCAGGCAAACAGACAACAATAGCAATGTCCATGCCCTGGGCTCGTCTTTTGCGTAGCAAATTGCATTATTTACTTTTCAATACATTGCCAAAAGGCCAAAGCAACAAACTACAAAGAACCAGGCGAAGGCTAAGCGAATAAATTTGTTTATAAAATTATGAAATCGACCGTGGCTAATCGATTAGCTTACCACTGGCATATTATTTATATTATTTCCGCTTGCGTTCTTATATAACACATTATATCGTGTGCCCTTTTTTCCAAACCATTTTTTGACAAATTAAATGCAATTACTTATGTGCAATTGATAGATTGACAAGAAAAATCACATAAATCATGCCTGAAATTCTTTAAAGGTGCAAAATATTTGAAATGGAATATTGATTTGCAGTTGATTAAAAAAATAATAATCAAGGACTAGAAGATCCCAGACCTACGATGAGTTGATATTCTAGCCATTAAGAGCTGATATTCATCCTCAATCAAAAATTCGAATATTGACTTTGCTTAGGTTTCAATTGTTGAATACATTTTGGTTGAATTGTTTATTCTTCATGAGGTTTTTGTGTATAATTTTTGACACCCAAATATATATATTGACCAAAGCAAGGTCTACAGCATTTTTAATTAAATTTTTGGATTTTTGGAGAAGGTAACTAGAATCTAAAATATACAAAATCTTTCAATTTTAGTCTAAAGACTTCTGCTAGGATATTAAAGTCATGCTTCAAAAGGTAATTCAAATAATCGAGCTTTATCGTTGTAAAGGAATTAAGTATTGAATCAAATATCGTATAGGCGAAGAAATTGAGCTTTTGGCAGATGAAGAAATTGGCTAACGGATAAATGGATGTAAGAACAGAACTAAAGAAACAAACTGGATTAACCGTTCGACGCATAAACCAATGACCTAACCTGATTGACACACCTACTCATCCTGATCAAAAATATATATACTACATGGGATCAGCCGCTGCTTCTACTAAAATGCAATACTTTTTACAACATATATAATTGCATTCATGTAAAAATATATTACCTAGTTGCCTAGTTCCATTTTTCTAGATACAACGAATTAAATTGGCTCTACTTTAGATCGATAAGAAACGCATATTACTAACTGTAAAATCTACAATTATATAAGGCTAGTAATACCGATTTGCTATATCTAAGGCGATTAAGCATAGCCGATTAAAGGAATTAAGTATTCGATTAGCTATGGACCAAAAATTTCGTATAAAAGTAAAAGCTGACGTAGAGCCGCATGAGTTTCGTACAATAACGTGAGAGTGCCGGAGTTTAATAAACTAAAAGCAATCAATTGGTAAGTCACAAACCCTAAAGACCAACACAAAGAAAATAGATATATATTAGAAAAATTTGCTGTGAAATCAAGATGGAATAATAATACGTGGCATTCAAATTGATATTTTGTTCTCAATTTCGTTTGATTTGAACACCAAATTGATCAGGAGAAAAAATAAAAACAAACAAACATTTCAATGGAAGCCTGCACTTAGTCAGATAACATCGTCAGTTACTTCTAGCTGATGCTGCCTGCTTCTGCTGCTGATGCTGGCAGCGGTTATTGCCCCAAATTGTGGGCCATCAATTCAGCAAACTGTTCCACTCGAATGAAAAAAGTTGCGCTTTTAACTATTCAACTTTGTTGCCGTTGCAGCTTTGAGTTTGCAACAGCTCACCCGCTGGCTAGTTTCTGACAAACTGACAAACTGACGGACTGACAGTGTAAAGGACTGACCACAGAAAAAAAAAAAAAAAAAAACACAAGCAAAAAATTCCCTCAACTTGATAATAATTTTTGCTGCAACAATTTTTCTGCATTCGCTTCTTCGTTTGCTGCGGCAATTAAAAATTTTTACCTTATTTGCTCCAGTTTTCGAGTGTTGTCCTCTCCATGATGCTCCGTCCCTATCAGTTACCATTCGCTTCGCGTCAGCTTTGTCTCGCCCCAGGACGAATTTTGCATGGTCATTTAGTTCTTTCTTTTTGCAAGCAACTGGAAACGGGTAAATGTGACTGCGACTGCAACTGCGACTGCGACTGTGACTGCGACAGTGTTTGGTGGTAACGCTGTGACATCAAGATTGCGAGCGCCCCAAACGCTCGCAGCATCGCAGCACACGCATATCCCTGACCAATGTCCTGGCATTGTGGCAGCGCGCTGTTACTAATTAAAAACGCAAATGGGTTTATGATGTTGCACAAGTTGCGGTTCGCTTGAGAGGGGCGCCAGTGCCAGTGCCAGTGGAGGGGCGGGGCGGGGGCGAAACGCTTTTACTGCTGTCGCTGCACAAATGTAACACAATAAGTGGGCAAAAGAAGAGGAAGAACTGAAAAGAAGCTGTAAAGAAAGCGCATAAACGAGCGCGGCATTAAAACAAATTTCTGTAACGTTCTCTTTGCATCAGGTTTTCATTTTTTTGTTGTTTTTTTTTTTTTTTTGGTTTCTGTTTCGCTGTGTTTGACAAAAATGGGGCGAAAAATACAAAACAAGTTGGCAGCTCGAGCTGCCACGCCAACACCCCCAACACCCCCTCCACACCCACGCCCCAGCTCCAACAGCCTTTTGTGGCTTTTGCTGACTGCCCAGATCTGGTCCTCTATCTGCGTGTGGTTGGGCCACGACTCTCATGCTATCTCGCTCAGCTGTGACTGGCATGTTTTGTGTTTTATTAGCGTGAAAATTTTTCAAAGGTGTCAGCAGTTTATATAGACACACATATATTTTCTCTATATATGTATATGTATATATCTGTTGGGAAACTTTTAAACGCCACATTTGCTTCAAGAACAAGTTCCATCTACGGTTGCAAGGGAAACAATGCCAGAGCAAAGCAAAAATATTTAGGACCCCAGGAACAGTCAACGAAATGCGGTCAACTATGGGGAAATTAACAGTTGTTGAATATAATAGAGAATAGAATAGAGTATGAAATATATATATACGTATATTATTTTTAATTGCCAAAAATTTATGCCAGAGAAATTGTTGTTTTTCGTTGGCTTTGCACAACAAAAGCGGCCACGCCCCCAACCACTGTGCCTAGCCCAGTTCAGATTCAGTTGTTTTGTCTGCTGTGCTAATTTATATGTTAATTTTTTCTTTTTTGATGTTCTTTCCCATAAACATATACATATATATACATACATACATATATTTCTATTTATTTCGCATAGTGTGCATATTATGAGTATTTTGTGTTGTTTTTTTTTTCGTATTTTTGTTGATGCGCTCGCTTTATTTTTGAATAGAAAAACAGGAAAGGATCCCAGCCCATTGAAAGGGCGTTTTATTTCATTTTGGGCGGTTTTTCTATTTTGCATGAAATTTGTGCTGAGGCACAAGCATACAGCAAGGAAAAAAGACGAAGAGGGCATGACTAACGTCATGGCAACTTTTTAATTTTTGACCGGGCCAAAATTAGAATAATAGCCGAACGGATATTACACAATAGATCCTTTGGACCTGTGGGACGTCGTCCACTTTGTGTTGTTGGCTTGGGGTGCGTGTTGTGCGGATTTCCGGTCAGTCAGTTGTGGTCAACTGGATGGCCAAAGACCGTTACTAAAAGCCCCAGCAAGTCTCAAGCATTTGCAGCGAGTTTAAGGAAACAACTTTTCAATTAAAACCTCGACTTGGCTGCTCAGAGTTGATGGATAAGAAAGACTTTTCCTTCACTAACTTCAAGTCGACTTTAAGGCCCAACAAACATTTATGAGCCAGACGCCCCATCTCGATTGCCTTCCCTGCGTGTCCTTGCAGGCAAAGTTTTTGGGCCCGCTCAGCCTTCTGCTATGCTCATATTTATACCCGCAACAATGTGCGCCTCGTAAAACAATTTATAACTTTTGCGCTTTTGCCTAATAAGTTGGCATGTTGTGGCCAATAAGTTGCCGCCGCTGCGCGACACGGCCGCATCCTGGCAGACGACAAGCCGTCGCAGCAGTGCAAACTATGCAAAGTACGAAAAGTGCAACGCGTCGTCTGCTCCCTCGCCTGCTTCTCCTGCACCTCTCTTCACCCTCCTAAAACTAAATTACATGCATTGAGGAAACAACAACAGAAACAACAGCCTGCAGCACTCGCTGGCGCATCTAGTTATGCCCCTCTCGCAATCACACACCCTCTTTCGCTCTCTTCATCTCTCGCTCCCTCATCTCTGCTCCACTCTTCCTACACGTTTGCTGCTGCTGTTGTTGTTGCTGCCCTAACTACTGTTAATTCTTCTAATTGTGTGCACGTTGTTTGCATGCGCTAATGTCGCATATGCACAAACAACAACAACAGCAGCAACAGCAGCAGCAGCAGGAGCTACAACAACACCTATGGGAGACGACGGGCGCAGAAGGCGTGTCATGCAAATGTGTAACTGTTTATGCGAGCGTCGCTCGCCTTCTACACTTGAGATTTTTGCTGGTCGTCGTGTGCCGCTTGACAAGTAACATGGCAACTGCAAAGCGAAAGACAGAGAAAAATATGTAAGCGAGCGAGACAGCAAGAGTGAGAGGGGGAGTGAGAGCGAGAGTGAGAGAGAGAGAGTACGAATGATGAGGAGTAGCGAATTAGTCTGTGTTCTCGCACTTATTAGTGCAAAACGCTGCACGCACTGCGTGTGTGCGTGTGCGTGTGCGTGTGTGTGTGTGCATGCATGCTTTGTTATTGTTAAATGTAATTAAATTATGCAGATGAGTGCCAACATGTCGGTGCTGCTGTTGCCTGCTGCTTAGGAATGCGTTTAGCTACTTTACATATTCGTGCGGAGCAAACAGCTGGCCGCCTTTTGATAAATGTCCTAAGTAGCTAACATTTAATTGCACAAGTTTATTAAATATTGAAACTAATTAAACACGATTTAAGTCGAGCCCCAAATGACGAGGATTTCTAAATTTGAATAAGTACAATAATATTGATTGGTATTACATTTTTTTAATTTTATTTACCTATTTACTTTTTGATCTGATCAAATTAAAACTAATAGGTACTCTGATCGACACGTATACGCATAAATGAAACAGATCGGCCGGGCGGATTAGCGGACAGACGGACAATTCGCTTGTCATCTAGAATATTTATACCAAATGGGGTAGACAGATTAGTAGCAATAAATCCGAATAGAAATCAAATAGACAGCGCTGCAATTCGAAGCCTCCTTTGCTTAAACAGAATTTGTTCAATATGTAAATGTTCTTGTAAAGTGGAACTATGGACGTATTGTCAACATTTATATAAATTCATTATATATTTGTAGTTTCTATATTATTTCATTTGCATTGGGGAGATGGTGCGCATATATAAAGTTTTCCTTGATTTTAGGGTCAATAATTAATTGGAATTTCCTATATTTGCAATATATTTTGAGCTAGTTGTGGACCAAGTTGTCTGCTATAAGTATGCTCATTTAGAATATATTTAAACTATATTTAGTTTCAAAATTTATTTTTCGTTTAGTTACTTCAACAAGATGAATTTTAGTTTATCGCTATTAACGGTTATCTTGGTGCTGGGTATTATGGCTGGACAAGGAAATGGAAAGGCCAATCGACTTCTATTGCACGAATTTAATCAGGGTTTTAACGGAGGTCACGATCTGTCAGCGTACGGAGCACCGAATAACTGTCTATCGAACGTAGGTAGCAACATATAAGAAATCTTTGCATAGAGGCTCATCAAGATTCATTTTTAGTTATGGTCCCCTGAATGCCCGTCTGATGCGTATATGGTACCCATGAGTCCTCAATTAGTTGAATACATTGTTAGCCTACACAACTATTTGCGTAGCAACGGTGGGTCTCCGAATAAAGCGATCCCTTTTCGCTGGAGCAACGAATTGGAAAAGTTAGCCGAATCTAATGTTAAGCAATGTAAGGTCGCTCACGATGATTGTGTGACCAATACTTACAAGGTAACCGGACAAAACCTCGCGCTAAATGTCTATACGGGAACATTTAATGCTCGAAGCGATAATGCATTGGTATTGCAATCCATTAAATCTTGGTGGAACGAATACAAGGCTAGTCAGAAGGAGAACATTGGTTCTAAAAAGAACATAGTCCTAGGTTGTGCCGCATCCAGATTCTATTCAAAAGGCTCGCATAATTTCCTGATTGCCTGCAACTATGCAACAATTAACAGCCTCGGTCAATTTGAGCTTCGTCAAGGTAGCCCCGCTGGGCTGGGCTACCCATTTTAGAAAACGCGTTATTCTTTAAAAAAAAAAAAAAAAAAAAAAAAAAACAAACAAACAAATAAAACAAGAAAACGGTTACGTTAAGTCTAACTATATACATATACTTGATATTTTCACAAGTTTCATAAATAAAGCAAAGCATACATTGAACAATGTTGCTTTAATCGTCCGACTTCTTGTGGGCTTTCCATTAATGATTGTTTCTTTTTATTATTATACCCTGAACCCATTACAAATGTTAAATCGGACCCCATAAAGCATATATATTCTTGAGCAGGGCGACGAGCTGAGTCAATCTAGCCCTGTCTGTCCGTCTATCTGTCCATATGTATGAACGCGATCTCAGAAGATATAAGAGCTAGAGACTTTTATTTAAATGTACATAATACGTATATATGTATAGCGCGGATATCGAGTTTATTATCGATTAAAACCCCTACAGAAAAATGAATTACTTAATTACTCCTATTCCTATCTTCTACTCCTTTAGAGCTAAAGTCTCCAAATTTTAGATGTAGACTTATATGTGTTTTATAGAATTTCGATTTTTTATAATTTAATTTCTTTGGTAAGCAGAAAGACGCGAAGAATTATTGAAATATCAGCTCCTCGAACGGTTTAGGGGATTCCGTAGTCGAGCACACTCGATTAGAGCTTTGTTATTTCCTTTTTTTTTCATTCACTCCTTATTTCCTCAAATATTATATCATTGGCATATTTATTTATAACTTTTCAGCAATAATTTGTACAATTACATTGCAGAAATGTACCTCTTTAGTATATCGCTAAGTTTGATACTACTAAACGCATTTCTTCTTACGCTGGGAGATGTGCCTCTTCAAAACAATGGGACTGCTGCTGAGCGAAAAGATCCCGATACTGGCGCTGGTAGTATTAATCTTGGTGCAGGTAATTGGAGTAGCAATTTTGGAAATAATGGCAACGGCCAGACCTCAAATGGTGGATCTAACGGCAATGGGCTAGTCATACAAGCTGGAGTTTCTGGAAGGAGTGGTGGTATTTCCATTTTTTCTAGACCTTTGATTTTAATTGGTAGACCTGATAGCAACGGATACAATACAAATCATAAATCTAAACAACAGCTTACCAGAGTCGAAGCCTCAGACGGTAGTCAGGATGATGATACAAAGAGTACTGTTGTCTTTGTTGGAGCTAATTGGACGGATAACTTTAATCACAATGGCGAAGAGCAACTTTCAGTGGGTGGAGTTAATGGCAACGGCTTAATCATAAATACTGGAACTACTATAATACAGGATCGAAAAGATCAACACATAGGCAAACTCAATTTACGGACCGATGTTGGTGCTGGTAGTATTAATCTTGGTGCAGGAAATTGGAGTAACAATTTTGGAAATAATGGCAACGGCCAGACCTCAAATGGTGGATCTAACGGCAATGGGATGGTCTTCATTGGGGGCGTTAATAATTCACCCGGTACCACTGTTAAGCCCTCAAATAGAGAAGCAGATAAAAAAAATGAGGAAGGGGATGGCGCCAGCCAGGCATCAAATAGTGGACAAAATTTACGGAGCGATCGTGGTGATGGTAGTATTAACCTTGATGGAACTAATTGGTCAAACAATTTTGGAAATAATGGCAACGGCCAGACCTCAAATGGCGGATCTAACGGTAACGGTGCGGTCATAACTGCAGGAGTAACCACAGGCCAGCGAACCTCCAGAGCTAGCCAGGCATCAAATAGTGGACAAAATTTACGGAGCGATCGTGGTGATGGTAGTATTAACCTTGATGGAACTAATTGGTCAAACAATTTTGGAAATAATGGCAACGGTCAGACCTCAAATGGCGGATCTAACGGTAACGGTGCGGTCATAACTGCAGGAGTAACCACAGGCCAGCGAACCTCCAGAGCTAGAACTTCCGGTAGACAAAGGAGCAGTTCTAGTTTTAAGAATAATGGCGACGCGCAACCTTCAGCGGGTGGAGTTAATGGCAACGATCTCATCATAAATACTGGAACTACTATAATACAGAATCGAAAAGATCTACACATACGTAATTCCATTTTACGGACCGATGCTGGCACTGGTAGTATTAATCTTGGTGCAGGTAATTGGACCGGCAATTTTGGAAATAATGGCAACGGCCAGACCTCAAATGGTGGAACTAACGGTAATGGGCTAGTCGTAACTGCAGGCGTTAATAAGTTACACGGTACCACTGTTAAGCCTTCAAATAGTGAAGCAGATAAAAAAAATGACACCGAAAATAGTGGATCCAAAGCCCAGCCCTCTAAAGAGGAAGCGGATGGCGCCAGCCAGGCATCAAATGGTGGACAAAATTTACGGAGTGATCGTGGTGATGGTAGTATTAACCTTGATGCAACTAATTGGTTAAACAATTTTGGAAATAATGGCAACGGTCAGACCTCAAATGGCGGATCTAACGGCAACGGTGCGGTCATAACTGGAGGAGTAACTGAACATAAGGCCACCACAGCCAAGCGATCCTCAAGAGCTAGAATTTCTGGCAGACAAACGAGCAATTCTAAGACCTCAACTGGTGGAGCAAATAGAAAAGATTCGACCTCAAATTATGGATATAATGAGAATGGTAACAATAACGGTCTTAGCATAAGTACTATTATTAGAGCTATTCTGAATGGTATACACAATGACAATGGGCAGACCCCAACTGGTGGACAAAGGGAAAATGATCACCTCTCAAATCGTGGAAATGGAACCATTTTTGTTATAGTAGTCAATGATCAGCATGACAATGATCGGCTTGAAAGTGGTTCTGAACGTAATGAAGGTGATGAGAGAAGCCTTGTAGATAATTCGAATAATTGTGGAGGTCCTTTTTCTGGCTGTGGATGTAATGGAGGATGTGGATCTGGATGTATAGGAGGTGGTTCCGGAGGTGGTTCTGGATGTATAGGAGGTGGTTCAGGAGGTAATGGATGTATTGGAGGTGGTTCAGGAGGTAATGGATGTATAGGAGGTGGTTCAGGAGGTAATGGATGTATTGGAGGTGGTTCAGGAGGTAATGGATGTGGTTCAGGAGGTAATGGATGTAATGGATGTGGTTCAGGAGGTAATGGATGTATTGGAGGTGGTTCAGGAGGTAATGGATGTATTGGAGGTGGTTCAGGAGGTAATGGATGTGGTTCAGGAGGTAATGGATGTAATGGATGTGGTTCAGGAGGTAATGGATGTAATGGAGGTAATGGATGTGGTTCAGGAGGTAATGGATGTAATGGAGGTAATGGATGTGGTTCAGGAGGTAATGGATGTAATGGATGTGGTTCAGGAGGTAATGGATGTAATGGAGGTAATTCAGGAGGTAATGGATGTATTGGAGGTGGTTCAGGAGGTAATGGATGTGGTTCAGGAGGTAATGGATGTATTGGATGTGGTTCAGGAGGTAATGGATGTATTGGAGGTGGTTCAGGAGGTAATGGATGTATTGGAGGTGGTTCAGGAGGTAATGGATGTGGTTCAGGAGGTAATGGATGTATTGGAGGTGGTTCAGGAGGTAATGGATGTATTGGAGGTGGTTCAGGAGGTAATGGATGTATAGGAGGTGGCTCAGGAGGTAATGGATGTATAGGAGGTGGTTCAGGAGGTAATGGATGTGGTTCAGGAGGTAATGGATGTAATGGATGTGGTTCAGGAGGTAATGGATGTAATGGAGGTAATGGATGTGGTTCAGGAGGTAATGGATGTAATGGAGGTAATGGATGTGGTTCAGGAGGTAATGGATGTAATGGAGGTAATGGATGTGGTTCAGGAGGTAATGGATGTAATGGAGGTAATGGATGTGGTTCAGGAGGTAATGGATGTAATGGAGGTAATGGATGTGGTTCAGGAGGTAATGGATGTAATGGATGTGGTTCAGGAGGTAATGGATGTAATGGATGTGGTTCAGGAGGTAATGGATGTAATGGAGGTAATTCAGGAGGTGGTTCTGGTGGTAGTATTGGAAATATTACTGTTGGTAGTATTACAGGTGGTGGTAGCACTGCAATTACATCTGTAAATAGTGAAGGTAAAAAGGTAATTTGTGTATGTCATGGAAGTCATATGTGGTGTGGCCCTGTAGCTGGTTCTGAAGGCGGTTCAGGAGGAATTATTGCAGGTGGTTCTGGAGTTGGTTCTGGAGGTGGTTTAGGATGTAATGGATGTGGCTCCGGAGGTGGTTCAGGATGTAACGGAGGTGGCTCTGGAGGTGGTTCTGGATGTATAGGAGGTGGTTCCGGAGGTGGTTCCGGAGGTAGTTCTGGATGTATTGGAGGTGGTTCAGGAGGTAATGGAGGTGGTTCAGGAGGTAATGGATGTAGTGGAGGTGGCTCTGGGTGTATAGGGAGGTGGTTCAGGAGGTAATGGATGTATTGGAGGTGGTTCAGGAGGTAATGGATGTATTGGAGGTGGTTCAGGAGGTAATGGATGTATAGGAGGTGGTTCAGGAGGTAATGGATGTATTGGAGGTGGTTCAGGAGGTAATGGATGTATTGGAGGTGGTTCAGGAGGTAATGCATGTATTGGAGGTGGTTCAGGAGGTAATGGATGTATTGGAGGTGGTTCAGGAGGTAATGGATGTATAGGGAGGTGGTTCAGGAGGTAATGGATGTATTGGAGGTGGTTCAGGAGGTAATGGATGTATAGGAGGTGGTTCAGGAGGTAATGGATGTATTGGAGGTGGTTCAGGAGGTAATGGATGTATTGGAGGTGGTTCAGGAGGTAATGGATGTATTGGAGGTGGTTCAGGAGGTAATGGATGTATTGGAGGTGGTTCAGGAGGTAATGGATGTATAGGAGGTGGCTCAGGAGGTAATGGATGTATAGGAGGTGGTTCAGGAGGTAATGGATGTGTTGGAGGTGGTTCAGGGAGGTAATGGATGTATAGGAGGTGGTTCAGGAGGTAATGGATGTATTGGAGGTGGTTCAGGAGGTAATGGATGTATAGGAGGTGGTTCAGGAGGTAATGGATGTATTGGAGGTGGTCTCGGAGGTGGTAATGGATGTAATGGAGGTGCTTCCGGAGGTAATGGAGGTGGTTCTGGATGTATAGGAGGTGGCTCCGGAGGTGGTTCTGGATGTAATGGAGGTGGCTCAGGAGGTAATGGATGTATTGGAGGTGGTTCAGGAGGTAATGGATGTATTGGAGGTGGTCTCGGAGGTGGTAATGGATGTATAGGAGGTGGTTCAGGAGGTAATGGAGGTGGCTCTGGATGTAATGGAGGTGGTTCCGGAGGTAATGGATGTAATGGATGTATATGAGGTGCTTCTGGATGTAATGGAGGTGGTTCAGGAGGTAATGGATGTAATGGAGTTGGCTCTGGATGTATAGGAGGTGATTACGGAGGTGGTTCAGGAGGTAATGGAGGTAATGGAGGTGGCTCTGGATGTATAGGAGGTGTTTTCGGAGGTGGTTCTGGATGTAATGGAGGTGGTTTAGGAGGTAATGGATGTAATGGAGTTGGCTCTGGATGTATAGGAGGTGTTTCCGGAGGTGGTTCCGGCGGTGGTTCTGGATGTAATGGAGGTAGTTCAGGAGGTAATGGATGTAATGGAGTTGGCTCTGGATGTATAGGAGGTGTTTCCGGAGGTGGTTCCAGCGGTGGTTCTGGATGTATTCCTATTCCTATATATAAGGAGGTGGCTCAGGATGTATAGGACGTGATACCGGAGGTGGTGCTGGATGTATAGGAGGTGGTTACGGAGGTAGTGCTGGATGTATAGGAGGTGGTTCCGGAGGTGGTTCTGGATGTATAGGAGGTGGTTCCGGAGGTGGTTCTGGATGTGTATGAGGTGATTCTGGATGTATAGGTGGTAGTTCAGGAGGGGGTTCTGGATGAAATAGATGTATTGGAGGTGGTTCTGGATGTAATGGATGTGGTTCAGGGTGTGGCTCTGGAATTATTGGAGGTGGTAGTGGAGTAGGTATTGGAGGTAGTATTAGTGGTATTATACATGGTTCTGGAAATATTGGAGATGGAGTAGGTATTGGAGGTTTTTTACCAGGTAGGTCTAGAAGTCCTACTTCATCTAGAAATATTTCATCAGCTGATTCAAGTAATACTACTAGCGATGTTAGTGGTGATATAAAAGATTCATCTAGTGGTTTTACTAGTGGTCCCCCAACTCCAGAATAAATTTATAGAGGAACCACAGGTAGTGATGGAGGCGTTATTGGATTGAATGCGTCATCTTTAGATATCATTAAAAATATTACTGCTAGTGGTTTTTCTGATGCTATGTCCCGTAGTATTAGTAGTGGTATAACTAGTAGTGTATCTGGTGGAAATTTCGATACTACATCTGAAGAAATCTCAAGTAGTTTATATAGAGAATGGTCTAGTAGAGCAAGTTTTTATAATTTTGCAAGAAGTGGCATTACTGAAGAAAATAGAGCTCCGAATTCGATATTGACTCAAAACTGTCCTGAAAAAGTAAGTAATCGTATGGATATTTTTAATACAATCTAAACCACTTCTATTCTTTTTAAGACTTGGGCCCAACGCTGCAATGGATTTACTAGACCTTATCTAAAAAATATACAGCCACATAGAAATCTGATAGTTAAAGTCAACAACTACTTACGTGACAAAGTAGCAAGGCCCTAATTCTATACGAAAATGAAAGGGATGGCTTTAATGAAATGGAGTTCTGAACTGGCCAACACAGCTAAAATTAATGTTATGCAGTGTATGCTAAGTCATAACAGCTGTAACAGAAATGACTATAGGATAACTGGACAAAATGTGGCAATTACCACCTACTTGGACGCAGATGTGCAACAATCGGATGCTCAGCTGGTGAATGGAACACTTCAGAATTGATGGAATGAATTACAGATTTACCAACGGCAATCTAATGCTGATAGGCAGTATGATCCGCCAGTTGCTATAAAATAAAGTGATCGTAATATAAACATCTCTTTCGCCGTCGAGATTTAACTGCTATGTTGAAGTAGAAGAGCGATGCCGTAGGCTGTGATGCTGCCAGATATTCTGCAGATCGAGATAATAAATTCCTAATGACCTCCGTCTATGCCACAGCCTCACCCCCAGATCTGTTTTACAAAATAAGTCGATCGAGCCACGGCTGCATAACTGGTTACAATCCCCAATTTCCACACTTGTGCAGTGAATCTGAAAAATATTACTTTTAGGCAAAGAAACAACAGTAAATATCATCTCCGGAAGATTTTCAATAAAGATATTGAGTATGTTAAGTTTTTCGTTTATTTAATTTTATATTCTAGTTCTTGAACAGTTTTGCAATTATTTAATGTTTTCAATTGCCTTCCACATAATCTCTTACATACTCAAGAGGTTGCGCTGATGTTTTTAATACATTTTTTTCCATTGTAATACATGTACAATAGTAGAATATGCTCAAAGATTTCCTTATGGTATTTTATGAGTTCTTTTTTTAATGCCTTGTTTCGTTTTAATTACGGTTTTAGTTGTTTTAATTATAAATGTCCCTTGTAATTTGCTTAAAGTTTATAAAAATTTACTTATTTGTTTTCAATATATATTCAATATATATATAATATGAATGTTTGTGGATGAGAGATTTGTAGTATTATGGAACATGAATATAAATTTACGTTTGAATAGATTTTTCAATTAGAATTTGATATTCTGTTCTTATTTATTTGTAAATGTTTTTCTTTAAATTTTAGTTTAGGTTATGTTTAACTCCCTTGTATGTGTTTTGCATTTTGTTCCATTAAATTGTTAAATATTTACAATTATTAAAACAGCACTAGCAGCTCATCATAAAACGAAGTCAGCAACCCAAAGGATAAAAAAATAAAAACAAACAAAAGAATATAAATATAAATATAAATATAAATAATAATAATAGCGACAAACCAATCAGGAAAATGGCCATAGAGAAAAACAACAAAAATTACATTTGTTCGAAATACATTTTTTTTATTTACACATATATATCTATATATATATATATATTTTTTTTTTTTTATTTATTTATTTTTTATTTTTTTGTATACTTTGAATTTATTATGTTGTATAAATTGCTTTTGTATTCATAGTGTGTCAATTTGTAGTACCTTCTTCATAAATATTGTGTAGTTTTGCATAATTGTTACTATCTTGTTGCATTTTTCAAACCCCTTTATTTACGATATTTTATTAATTCAATAAGTAATTTAAGTTTACTATCTCTGCTCTATTTATATTGAATTTATTAACTATGAAAGTGTTTATTTTTTGTTTTCATTTTTATTTGTTTTCGGTTTAGATATTGTTTTGGTTTTTAATTGTTTTAAATTAATTTGTTTATTTTTCAATTATAGTTATATTTTCTTTTATGTATATATATATATTTATATATTATATATATATTTTTAAGTATATATATATAATTTTTTTAGAATGACTTGTGCTTAGAAGCGTAAATATTTTGTATACAGATTAAGTTTTTAGTTTTTTTTTTTTTTTTCGTTTTTAGTATTTTAATAATTTGTTGTTATCTTTTGTGCATAGCATTTAATTATTTACAGGAATTTAAATGCCTAAGTAAAACTTATTAAATAAATCACTGGGTGCGAAAAAAGACAGCTAAAGATGATGACCGCAGTGTTGAATAACGTCAGCAGAATCCACACTGTCTTTTTTGTTCATTTATTTTATTTTTTTTTTTTTAGTTTAACTAAGCGCTAATTTATACAAAATAAGTTCGCCTGAATAGAAGTAACTAAATATACAATACATAAATATGAATTAATGCGTATTCAAAAGTAACAGAATGTGTCCCAATTCCAATTCCAATTCCAGTGCCAGTGCCAGTGCCAGTGCCAATTCCGATGCGTTATCAGCCCTTGTAGAAGTGATAGAGCTCAATGTCGCCGTTGCGCTGCTGCGGCTTGGTACGGCCCAAGGTGCCGCACGACTTGAGCGTGTATCAGTGGTATCGGCGGAGGCTCCCGTTGTTGTTGTTGTTGCTGTTGCCGTTGACCAACACTGGGTTATTGTTTGACAGCGTTGCCACATTGTTGTTATTGGCATTGAAGGAACGCCTGCCGGTCGTATTGCCATGCACCAAAGCCATGCCCATGCCGTTGCGCAACGGCAGCGCCGGCGGCGGCGGTGTGGGCGTCGGACTCGGCGGCATATCATGGTCCAGCGGCAGCGAATAATGCGAATTGTTATGTATATAGCCAGCATCGGCCATGGCATCGCAGGGCTTGGCATACACAGCGCCATTATGATTGAAATGATCCTGGGTGAGCCGAATGCCGGCATGGCCATTGGCAAGCGGTTGGCTATAGTGCGACAGAGTGCTCTCCTGTACGCCGCACTGGCGCGCAGCCATGTGACGTGGCAGCGAGGCATTTAGGCCGAGTGCCTTGCCACCGCTGCCCCCGCTGCCCCCGCCGCCGCCGCCGCCGCCGCAATTCGCCAGCAATCGCATGTCCTGATGCGAATGATGTGAGCGCGGTGTAGTGGTTGCAGCTGTTGCCGCTGCTGGTCCTGTTCCTGTTCCTGGTCCTGTTCCTGTCTGTGGATTGTTGGTCATGTAGTGAATGTGGCTGAGTTGGGCAAAGGGCGCATGGGATGCATCGACGGCGCTGGGCACTTGCAGCTGCTGTAGCGCAGTTCCTGAGTTTGTCAAGGGCGAGGGACCGTTGTGACTGGCGGGGACACCGCCCCGACCCCGCAGCTGAGGTGGGGGCGGAGCTTCTAGCTATAGCTCGGTGACTGGTATCGGCCGGCTGCCCAAATACTGAGACGAATTGTAGCTGCTGGGACAGGGGTAGCCCGACGCTGGATGCACACCGCCACAGCCGGGCGGCGGCCGTGTCATATACTCCTCATCCGAAAAGGTCTTCTGATACTCGCGCTCCTTGCGCCCCAGCGCCGAGTGGCCCTTGAGCATTTCGCGTATGCGACGGCGACACGTGTAGATCACCAGCGCCAAGGTGGTGATCAGCGCTGCACAGCCGACGACCATAATGCCAATGATGGCCTGCTTATTGCCGCCGCCGTGGGTGCAGCCCAAGAGCGGCTCGGCCAGCTGCGTCAACGGCAGCTCCCGCAGATTGGCCGGATAGGAGCAGATGACGGGAGCGTATTGACTGCTTCCATTGCGGCTGATTAGCAGATTACGCAGCCACATCAGCTGGCAGTCACACACGAAGGGATTCTCCGAGAGATCCAGGGTCTGCAAGTCCGACCATGGAAACAGACTCTCTGACAACGTGCTCAGCTGATTTTCCTTCAGGATGACGGTGCTCAGGTGTGGAAAGCCGCCCACGGTATTGGCCAACAGCTCGTTGAGCTGCTTATTAGCCGACAGATTCAAGTGCTCCAGGTTCGTGTTGTCCGCAAAGGCGCCGCTCTCCACACGGCGCAAACGATGAGCGCCCGTGATCTCCAGATGGCGCAGCTCACGCAGACCGACAAAAGCGCCCGTTGCGATTACCTCGAAATCGTTCTGACCCAGCGACAGCTGCTCGAGCCGGCCCAGATGCTGCAGCGCAGCCGAGGGCACTGCCTGCAGCCGATTGTCGGAGAGATCCAGATAACGTATGCCCTCCAGACCCTTCAGGGCATCGGCCGATATATTATGCAGTCCGGCACCGCGCAAGTCCAGACGCGTCAGCGCCGACAGATCCTGAAACGCGCCGGCCGGAATGGTCATAAACGAGTTGGTGCCCAAGTAGAGCTCCGCCAGGCCGGGCAGGGCTTGGAATGTGAGCTGCGATGGCACCGTGGTGAGTGTGTTATCGTCCAGATACAACATGCTCAAATTGATCAGCCCGTCAAAGGCATGCGGATCGATGTGACTGATGCGATTCTGGCCCAGATTCAGCTCCACCAGCTTCACCATGGGCGAAAAGGTGCGATACTCCAGCTCGGCAATCAAATTGCCGCGCAGATTGAGCACTGTGATGGTGGATAGGCCAGTGAAGGTTTTGTTAGTCACTTGCCCGATCTTATTGTGATTGAGATGCAGCTCCTGGAGCTTGGCATGGTAGGCGAATGAGCGCTCTGGTATCGTGACCATGTCATTGTAGGACAAATCAAGGAATGTCAGCTGCGAATAGAACTGCATCGATGAGTCGATGGTCTTCAGCTTGTTGTTCTTAATGACCAGCCGCTGTATGGACGGGTTCAGTGCGATGGGCAGCACATCGAGCGTGCCCACACCGCAGTTGACTTTCAGTGTTTCGTCATCGCATTCACAGCCATTTGGACAATTTGCCAGGCCATTTGTCGGCACGAGCAGCACCAGCAGCAGCGGCCCAAGCAGCAGCAGCCACGTTGTTGACGGCGACATGGTAATTGCCATTGCCGTTGCCGACGACCCTCGTCTGCTCATTATGTGCCCGTTCTTCCTTCTGCCTGCTCCTCTCTCTCTCTCGCTGTCTCTCTCTCTCTCTCTCTAGCTGTCTGTCTGTCTGCGCCCCCTTTGGAGCTTTACTCCCTCGGTGTGCGCCTAGTCTGTGGTGTGGTTTGGTTTGTTGGTTAGTTGCCTTTGCTCTGACCAGACGTTGACTGTCTGTCCAATAGATGCAGTTGCCTCTCTCCCTCTCTCTCGCTCTCTCCTTCTCTCTCTCTCTTGGTCTCCCTTGCACTCACTTTTATTTTGGGTTAAATACGTTTTAGCCAAGTTTGCCAATGGCTTTCGTATTTGGCGTCCGACATTCGTGGCGCTCTGTCTGCCGTCGTTTAGCCTGTAAAGGGAAGAAAATTAAGAGGGGTGTGGGGCTTTAGTATGTGCGCTTTAAATTGATTTTCCATTAGAGTTCAAAATTGCTTGGCTTTTGGATTTTCATTGGATTTGGCAGCTGCATTCGCTGGCTACCCTGGCAAGTTAATCGGTAGTTTTGTGGATTATTTTGCCACTGCCTCTGCCCGCCCAACTCCCCAACTCCCCACGTCCCCACGGCCCCACGCCCCCAGCCGACCAGCTGTATCTCTCTATTTTGTATTCTCCGTCTGGCAGTAAACAAATGAAGACAATTTAAATGGCCACGGCAACAACATTAGCAACGGCTCTCGCATTAGTGGCAAAGCCAAATGGAAGCTGGCAATGGCAGAGCTTAACTCCGGGGCCCCGCAAAATAAATGTAGCTTTAATGGACAGCGCGACTGGTGCAACATCAGGTCTGACATGGCCAAAGAAACCTTGAACTGAATGCCTGAAAAGGCAAGCCGTTTCTCGACTTAAAGCTTCAGTGTTAATTAATCCAGTTGAATGCTGAGCAGAAAAAGCACGCAAAGTTAAAGTTTTTGGGGACAATGAAATCGTTGGCCCATTTGCCCCGTTTTTCTGTTATCCGATTTTTAGGCAGTGACCCAACCCTTTGCGCCCGGCCTGGCTGGCCCAGAGTCCCCAAAGTCGAAGCACATTCAATGGGCGGACGAGGGCAGCTCCCCAAAGGCGACGAGGCCAAAGATATGCCACATAGTTTAGTTTTGGTCGAAACTTGAAAAACAACTTGCACTTTGTATGCTTCGGGGACATTTATCAGAGAATGGCAAAAAGGAAACTTAATTTAGCGCACAGCTCCGAGAAGTTCAAGGATGCCAGAAAGGATATGGGCAAAAGGCGCAACCCCAAATGGTCTATCAAATAAATAAAACAAAAGGAGTCAGGAGTCGGAGAGAGACTGCGACTGAAACTGAGAGGGAGCGAGGTAGAGAGAAAGCAATTTTTGTTGTTTCTTATTATTGGTTTTTTTTCTCTATGTGAGTCTCTCTCTCTCTCTTTCTCTCTTTCACTCTCTCGGTCAGCACACAGTGCGTATAAACAAAAACACAGCAGTTGGCCACGCCCCAGCTGAAGCATATTTGGCTTTGGCGCTGCCTTTTTCATATTTTTCAACTTTACGCATTGTTCGGCATGGAAATGGTTCGGCCCCGAAGGCGTCATGAAAATAATCATAGATGTGGGTCATACTTCATGGCAAGCAGCGGACTACTGGTGGCTGGGTGGTTGGGTGGGCGGTGCAGACAACTGACGGCTTTGTGTATTGTTTGCGCTGCGCCAAAAAGGATAACTGCTGGCAGCAACTCTCGAGACGGGCGCGTCTCGGCTACAGCTCCAACTTGACTCTCGTGTTTATTATGTAAATATCACATAAACACCCGGGAGCGACGTGGGCGCAATCATATGAAACAACGCCACAAAAATGGAGCATCCCAGGTCCCAGGTCCTTCGCTCTCTGTGCAGTATCTCATCATTATCATGCATATGCCATAAAGCGACTTGTTGAGACTGCGACTGAGAGGTTGCTCGCTTTTCTACATTCCTTTTTCGGTTTTTTTTTGTTTTTTTGTTTTTCTTTTGGCAACTTGACTTGAAGCCAAACCGTTGAGAATACAAAAACAACTGACAGCAGCTACACGGAAACACACTGCCAGCCCAGCCGCTGTCTATCTGTCTGTCTGTCTGTGTGCGGGTAGCAGCTGCTTAAGCAGTCAGTCAACACGCACTTGCAAGCTGCGGAGATATTTGGAAAATCAAATTTAAATTGCTGAAATGTGAAATGCTGCTAAACGGCCAACAACAACAACAACAACAGAACCAGGGCCAGGTTGTTAAATGGCCCAGAGCAGGCATCGGCCAGGACATGACCCGACCCGCTGCCAGCTATTGGCTTAGTCCCCCAACAAATGACGGCTGTTAGCCGGGCGAGACAATACGTTAACAGGAAGACACTTACGCCGGCTCACAAACAAAATATGGCAACAGCTCGGCCTAAACCAACAGCTCAACTAGAACGCACAGCTCCAGGCTAATGGCCAACATGTGTAGCCAAACATTGTCACTGCGTAAAGGTCAAAGTGTCATGCCGGCACTTTAAATATGGTGACAATGTAATTGAGTATAGCCAGGAGTCTAAATTTCTGACTATACTTTATTAAATATGTTGTTAAGATACCAAATTGAAATGACATTGTGGAAAATTAAATAAGACACGTAAGAAAGCTCTACAACTACTGAATACTTCATCTAATATATGCTTCATAGATTGGTACAGTATTATAGAGCTTACTCCTTCAAAGCCAAGTTCCAACAGTCACAAAAAAAAAAAAAAAAAACTCTAACTTCGGCGAGATCAGGCCTAGGCCAGGGCATTTAACCTGTAGACAATTTGCATCACCTCAAAAATGGAAAAAAAATAAATAAATAAATAAAAATAAAATAAAAATAAAAATAAAAACTTAAAAATTTAATAAAAAAATTACAAACTAGTACGAACTAAAATCTAAAAATTAAAAGTTGTTAAGATTTTTAAACGATAACATAAAAATGAGGAATAATTATCGATTATTAAAATAAATTTGATATGCTTCACTTCTATAAGGTCCTCTTAAAAGAGCTGCTACTCCTTAACTCCCATAAGTTCTGAGATTAACGCAATGATTTCATGGCATACAAAATATTATACTGATCCTCTATTGAAAGAACTTTGGTAGGTTATATATTACAGTACTTCTGTTAAGATATCATAACTTCGTCACTCTAAATCTCAATGAACTAAAATACCAAAATAAAACTAATAATAATTGTCACTCCTTACCAACACTAGCTTTAATTTTTAGCCCTCATCTCTCCGACTCTTCCTCTGTCTCTCTCCCTCCACATTCAACACCATTTAAATTGTCACCCTCGGCTCGGCTCGGCTCGGCTCGGCTCGGCTCGGCTCGGTCGCTGGCCTCTGTCCAGCTGACGTGTCTGCCGCTCAAAAGTATGCTCTAAATATTTTATAGCCGCTGAGATTTTCTCTCCTCATTTTTTTTATACCCTGAACCCATTGAAAATGGGAAATCAGGGTATAATGGTTTTGTGAAAAGTATGTAACAGGCAGAAGGAATCATCGCAGACCCCATAAAGTATATATATTCTTGATCAGGACGACGAGCTGAGTCGATATAGCCCTGTCCGTCTGTCCGTCCGTCCGTCCGTCCGTCCGTCCGTCCGTCCGTCCGTCCCTCCGTCCGTCCGTCCGTCCGTCCGTCCGTCCGTCCGTATGAGCAAAAGGATCTCAGAAGATATAAGAGCTAGAGAGCTGAAATTTGGCATGCATACTCGTGTATACCATAGGCAGTACAAGTTTGCTTTATTTTTTCGATAACTCATCCGATAACTTTTTTATCGAGAATAATCGAAAAATCGACATTGTTTTTTCAGCCTAATTTGAACACTTTTAGACCTGGAGTCTTCAAATTCGTGTTGTATATAAAGTTAATCGATAAAAAGATTTTGTTATTTTCACATTTTGGATACCATGCCCCCTTCACCCCCAATTTGTAAAAAACGCATTTCAAGTACTAGAGACTTGTGCTTTGGAATGTATACACATATTTACCATATGATTACGCTCAGAAAGTTTCATTAGGATCATATGTCTACAAAAGAAATTATCCAACAAATAAATTCTCATAATATTGCCCACACTGCTGCGCAGCCCAAGCGCAGTCGCTGCTTACTGCGCAGTTAGCAGAGTGCAGGCTTATGCGTGCGTGTGGATGCATGTGTATGTATGTGTGCATAAAAGAAGTGCAGAATAACTAGAGTATCAGCTTAGAGGGTTCAGGGTATCTCCTAGTCGAGCCGTCTCGACTGGAGCCTTCTTACTTGTTTTATTTCGCTCCGGACATTTTTATTTGGTTTACGGACAACGACGGACAATCCTTTTTCGACTGCTGTCCCCCTTTTTTGGCTGAACTCATTTATTAGTTCTGACTGGATTCGTGTCCGGGTGTGAGCCCACTCCCTACGCCCACGCCCACGCCCACCACGCTGACCATTGTTATAAATGTTTGGCTGTCAGTTCAACTGTGGCCGTGTAGCCTTGCGGCCATGCTGCTGCACACACATAGAAAGTGGGAAATAGAAAAAAAGGAAAACCCCAAGGTAGGAAAAAAAAAAAACACTTCTTTATTGTATCTGTATGTGTCTGTGTGGCTGTCTGTCTGTCTGTCTGGCTGGTGCCGCCACAGTTGCAGTCCCCCGTTGGAGCTGGCTGCTCCGCCAGGCTTTGCTTTCGCCTGCGCTATGACTTCCGTTTTTTGTTTGCCAATCCCCCGCCCAGCCCCCCAGCCACACTCTCTATTGTTGCTGCTGCTTATTGTTTAGTCGGTTGAGTTTTTGAAAATTTGCCAGCAAAAGCAAAAGCAACGAAAAGAAAAAAACCCACGCGACTTTTGCAACAGTTTTGCTTTTGTTTCGCCACTGCCAGGAAATTGCTAAATAAATGCATGTTTCTGATTTAATAGAGGTGAAGGGGCAGCGAGGTGGAGAGAGCGGTTGCAGTAGCTCAGCAGCTCCAGCTCATGCTCAATAAGTTTTCCCTCTAGTTTTTCTATTTGCTTTGAGTCTGCCAAAGTTTTTAGGGAAATCAAATGCCCAACTCTGGTGCTGGCCCGTTTTATTAATTCCTTTGCCCATCTTTAAGCGGCTCCAATTTCCACTAACTGTCAGTCGGGCCCCTGGCCACGCCCATTCGCCGCCCGGCAATAAACTTCAACCGGTTTGTTGTTCTTTGCCAAATGTTTAATATTTCAAAGTAACGCCAGCCAATAGACCAGACCCACTTTCCATGTCCGCAGCAGCGGGCGGATGAATGAAGTTTGAAAAGGGGAGCGGAACTCCTCTCGTGCTCCTCTCTCGCTCCCTCTCCCTCTCCCCCGCGCCCTATATTCTGGTGTTATTTATATGACA